TCTGTTTTTAAGTTATTTTAATTCACGTCCAATTCCACCGTCAATTATTATAAGCAAATCTACTAAACCAACATTTATTTGGTTCTTCTTTTAGAAAGCCACATGTGTTAGATTCAAATAACAGGTTTCTAACACGGGCATCAGTTAATGAGTATTTAAGTTTAGATTATTGCCACGTATTTATGTAGTTCAATTAACTGAATAGCTGTTTGGCAAGGAAAATTAAAGAGCTCTTAATTCACTGTTTTTACACCTATTATTTGGATATTATCCAAGTGAAGTCACTTTATTAATGTTACGCCTTAACTATTTTAATTACCTTCAATTAGTGAACTAAGCATTTCTACATCTTAAAGATTCCCCAAGAACTTTCAGAAGCCTACAGAATATACTGTAAATGGCAAAAAGCCTTTAACACCCTAGCCAAAACACTGACCTGTTACAAGAAGGTTGTATTCTCTGTCAGTATAAGTGACGTCACAGAATACTTTCCTTCTAGGAGTGTGAGTAGTGATGTTGCTAAGAAAATCAGGGTTTTATTTTTCTTTTGCTTTCTCAGTAAACTCAGGTGGTACTATAAAGCAAGTACTGGCATTTTATTTATTTAATTTAATTTAATTTTAATTTAATTTTATTTTATAGGTCATGCCAGCAACAAAAAACCTTAAGAATTCACAGTACTCTTTTTTTTAACTTCAGCACAAAACTTGTAAAGCAATACAGTGTACTCAAAAGAGTACTAGAATTATCAACCCAGGTTTTAACCCTAAGTGCCAATAACTTGCTGGCTTTGGTTGAAATGTAGCTCATTCATTGTCATGAATTCAATACAAAGAAATTTCTAGGGGCTGGGGATTTAGCTCAGTGCCACAGCGCCCGCCTGGCAAGCTCAAGGTCATGAGTTCAATTCCCGGTACCGGAAAAAAACAAAAACAAAAGAATGAAACAAACCAAAAAAAAGGAAATTTCTTCTCCGCACATCTGACATCATTCGCAGGAGAATGGCGCCGTACCTGACGTGAGCAAACAGTCAAGTCCCTGGAGATACGAACCTTACCCTGGAGGCAAGGACATCATCGGCGTAGCTATGGCCTCCTTCACTGGTTCTTAACCCTGAGACCAGTGCTGCCATTTCAGTTGTTTAATTTTCTGAGTGTTATTTATGTTTGTGCCCCAGTTTTAAAAGTTTATTCAACTATTTTTAAATTCACACGCAGTGCAATTAACTTTTTAACTGGTTTTGCAAGTGCTTAGTGTCACATAATCGTCAACACAATTAAGGTTCAAAATGTTAACATTGCTTTCGTTCATTCCCCCCACGCACCTTTGTAACCAGCCCCTGCCCCGGACCACGGGTCCCCGGTAGCCGTCAATGTGTTCCCTATTCTATAGTGACCTTCTAGACTGTCACATAAACGTAATCATAGACTATGTAGCCTTTACAGACAGACCCAACGCTGTCTTTTTATAAGATATTCTGGGGGCTGGGGATTTAGCTCAGCGGCACAGCGCCTGCCTGGCAAGTGCAAGGTCGTGAGTTCGATTCCTGGTACGGGGAAAAAAAAAAAAAAACCCAAAAAAAGAAAAGTAAGCTATTCTGATAACTCCCCTTCACAATTCTCAAGTAGAACCCATAAATAATAGCTTCTATTCTGAACATACAATTTCAAAATAACTAATATATATAAGAAAAGTAAGCAATCAATTTATAATAAAATAATAGTCTTTGAAATAAAGATGGCTGAGCACAACTATCCTGGACCCAATGAACTAATCAGACTCTTGCATTTACACTCACAAAAAAGTTGAGTTTTCCGGGAAGAACACCAGAAGCCATTCTGTATAAACAGTACAGATACATGGAGAAAAGGGGGATAAGTGGGATAACCTGACTTTTCTAAAATGTAAGCAATTCTTAGTAAAGTCTGAACAGAACCAAGTATAATTTTGTTTTCTGAGACTTCACAGAATTTTCCTATTCACAGTAGTATTCTGGAAAATTCAGTACATATTCAAACCTACTTTTTACAGGTTTTCCATCTATATGAATCCCCAGTGGAGCAATGAAAAGATGTATAGATTTAGCCAGGGGTACTGTGGCCCACACCTGTAACCCCAGCAGTCTGGAAACCTGAGGCAAAAGATCACAGTTTGAGCCCAGCGTGGGCAACTTAGTGACTTAGTGAGACCTCATCTCAAAGTTCAAAATGAAGAAAGGGGCAGGGATGTATCTCAGGGTGAAGGCCCTTTATTCAATTCCCAGTGCCCCCCACCAGTGTTTGGACTTAGGGAGCTGGGACTGTAGCTCAGTCATAGAGACATAGGACGTACAAGGCCCAGGTTCACTCCTCAGGAAAGAAACACGAAGTGTAGAATTGGGTTGTGTAGATCTGGAACAGTGTCTGATCCTGTCTTGTGCATGACAAGACATCTACATCCGTGGCTTATCTCATGTCGGAGCCCACGTAACCTTCAGACACTGTAAAAACAGAACATTCTCAGGAATTTCTGTTATAAGGGACTACCCCTAACTGTGCAGCCCACTGACATTACCCAAACCAGCCGGTCCGAAACTCCCCTGGCTGGGGTTTTCCTTCGCTCCTGCTGGTCAGCCTCCTTATCATTGTTGGCACAAGTGACCTTGTGCGTGTGGTGTGCCTCTTGTTTCTGGGACTTTGAATATGGTAATAGTGCACAGGTTTCCCCCCGCTTTTCCTGTGTCTCATCAGTTGGACCTGGTGGATCATCACATGCAAGACACAGACCAGAATTAATGAAATACTATTTTCATTTATTCTAGTTCTTTCTTTAGTTTGTGTAGTCTGAAACACTCCCTGAGATCTAGATCAAGTTGGAAATGACAACACTGAGATTAATTTACACAAAGCAACTTATTTTGTGTTAATTCTGCCAAGGCATTGTCTCCCCAATAGCTGATCTCCTTGAAGTTTTGAAGATGTTCTTTAAAAACTTATGATTGCATGTTTTTGAGAGTATGTTTACAGCTAATGCAAATGATCCTCTGTATTTATCTGAATGAAGCCAGTGGAATAAAACAGGATTGTTTGATTTTAATTATTCCAAATGAGTGGAAACAGAAATGTATCATGTTCTCAGGGAAGATGCCTCCGGAAACTTGAGCAATCTCAAGAATGAGGGCAAGGTACGAGAATTCATGTCTAATAAAAAATACAAGTACAGGCCAATATCCTTAAAGAATGCAGATGAAAAAGCCTCAACAGAACACTAGCAACCTAGTTGATAGCACATTAGAAGGATCACGTATCTTGGTCAAGTGGGATCACCAGCAATCAATAAGGCAGCTTTAATAATATATCAAGTCTTTGGTTAACTTTTTAAATTATAAAGATAATTGTTCTTAGTATATAGAAAAAGTCTTTAGGGTCACATTGCTTTCTTTAAGACCTTGGCTGGTGCTGGTCAGGTTGCACACTTGATGAAACTAGACTATGCGCCCATTGTTCATTAATGATAAACGTCCTATAGCAATATCTAAACGTAGAGCCAAAATCTCCTGGGACTAAGTTATGTGGGTCCCTATAATTCAGTCATAAATACCCACGGCATTCATAAGAGCCTCGGTTAGGACTAAATTTTTACAGGCTGTCTGTAGAATTTTGGAAGACACTAGTAACTTATGAGAGCGAACCAACTACCATCATTTGGGTCCCAATATTACAGTATCTCTTTAAATGTATGTGTAGACACTTGGGAAGTATCTATTATATTTAAGGCACTCTGAAGTGAGAAACATTCTTTAAACGAAGTCTGAGCTGAGGCTGAAGTAGCCAACGAAGCAGAGCTCTCAAATTAAAAAAAAAAAAAAATCATGCTATGGTGGCGTTCGAATTTGTTTTTCCACTCCTTTCATACTGGGCAGTGAGATTGCTTTCCTTTTCTTTCTACCTGACATAAAAAGCAGTTTTGCTAAATGTCACGGGGATGAAATAGCATGGATGGACACAAAATAACAGACACGCTGCGCGGAAGGCGAGACCGGCTCGGTTGCTTGGCAATGCCGTCGCGCGGGAAGGAGGAGGCAGATCCTCCGGGATGCCGGGCACTGCTGAGCCGCGCTGCGCTGCCGTAATGAGCTGTCACGCGATGTGACGTGCGGTTCTTCAGTGATGAAGTGTGTAAGCAGCGTAGCAAGGGGTACTGGCTCGGGAGTTGACAGCTGCCTACTTTGGGAGGAAACGACTGACGCACAAAAGAATAGCTTTTTTCTATTCTTCAATTTTTTTTTTTTTGAATTATAAAAGCATGTCTTCTCATTTTATTAAAATCAAATCAGGAAATATTAGTGCGTCACAGTCATTATTCCCTACTTCTATTCTCACTCTCCACAGATGACCCCTGGAAATATCCCATTATGCAACCCTTCAGACATCATATACAAACGGACCTCATAGCAGGTAATTATGCTCCATGCATCATGATCTACATATACTTATTATGTATTATTTCTTAAGACTGCATTAAGCGGAATGGTTGGCGCATTGCTCTTTGCATTTATTATCTAACGGCTCCCTTTCCATAGCGGTGCGCTACGGAGAATGTCTACTTCCTTCCTTCTCCGAACACAGCTCAGGGTGTAGCTGATGTGCCCAGTCTCAGTCCCAGCACCTGTACTCACCAAGACAGTTCTTCCAGAGACTGCAAGACAGAGTAACAAGCAAAAGGTGGTTTTCCTGGGTGAGTGGATGGCTACACGCTGACAAGATCCTCCTGTGCAGTAGCGTGTGTTCCTGTCCCCCACAGCCGCCCCTCAGGGTGAGAGCTTCAGCTCCCTCACACACCTTCCCCCTCCCTGTGCTGTCTCCCGCCATGCTATGGGTCACACGCGCAGGAACCTACAGAGCCTAGAGGGTCAAAGCAAAAGTGAAGCTGGGTTGGACAGCTGTGCAACCAGCCTTGTTTGAAGGGTGGATACTGTTCACGCCATCTGCTTATCCCTTCAAACTCTCAATTTTTTTTTAAAATGTATCAGTTATTTAATTAGGTTCTTAGTAAGAAGTTTAGAACACTAATTTGTGAGGGTAAATTCCATTTGTCAGAGCAAAAACAGATCGCAGGTAGCCCCGGAGCTGAGGAACGGCTTTGATTTTTGGTAAAATCTGCGAGTCCACTGCTTTCTGATCGACCTTGCGCTGCTCTGAAATCTGGTATCACTCCTTCTCAGTGTCGAAGATCTCCCCCTCCTGGTGCCTGGGCTTCCGCAGCTTCTTCTTCTTGAAGTAAGCATCAGTGAGGTGTTTGGGGATTTTCACGTTGCTGATATCAATTTTTGTGGAGGTGGCAATGACAAACTTCTGGTGTGTTCTACGCAG